TATATATATTTTTTGTTTATAATTTATTTGATTTCATTCAAAGAATGAATACATGAAAATTGTTTATTGTCATAGAAGTTAACAAGAAATATACAATCACTTAGATCTGCTAATAAATGCCATTTTTTTAAAATAATACAGTTTAAAAAACACATTATTTTAAGTTTATGTTACTTTAATTTCCGATGACATGATACAAAAAATAACTAAGAATGACTTCATGCATCGTTCAACATCATTCGGAAATTAATATCTAATCGAATTTTTCTGCTTCATTTATTTTTCTTGCAGAAAATAAAAAATATAACCCTAAGACAAAGTATTTTTGTCCCTCATATCTGATGCATTCTAATATGGGATTTCAAAGTTTCTTATTTCATCAAGATATAAAATCAAAAGTACAAAATGAAGAGAAAGTAACAAATTGTAAATTTAGTCATTTGTATGAATGAACAACGCATGAAAATTTACAACATCATTTTTATTAATTTATTTCTACTTGGGAAAAATTAGTAGATCTGATATTATAATAAAAAATGACCACTGTGCATGCATCATTATGTCATAAATCTTAATGAAAGAAAATGATGAAAACAAAAAAAAAAAAGAGCACTAACATACTTGTGAAGAAGTTGAAGTACTTTGAGAAAAGCTTTATTTCGCTTTGCATGCCTGATGGAATAATGAAGTACGTAAGAAGATCTGACGGAAAATCTCAGTTTCATTGAGATCTGATAATACTTTTCAGCATAATTGGAGTAAATCTCGACTCATACGACGGAAATCATGACGGGATAATTTGATGCTAAGTCAAAACAATGATATTTAATAACGACCGATGACGAAGAAAAAATAGTGAAACATCACATACATAAATTAGGAATATTTTCAACAGGTCTCTGTCTTTCTTGGTAATCGAATATACAAAGATAATCATTTAAAAGAAAAACAATCTCATTCTGATTGAAAGTTTTAGTTTGGGATTTATTTAATATAAACCAAAGATTCTCTACTTTAATTTTTTTCATTTATCTTGTTCAATTTGTAAAGTTGTTCTTTTGAACCTATTTTTAATTTACAATCTACTTATTAGAAAACCTGATTTCAACTATTGATATCCTGTGTTGATGTATCTGTGCATGATAGGGTATTAATTAACTTATCATCTAGACGAAATTAATTTTTTTTTAATTAAATAGCACCGGGTACACTAGAATAATAATTGTACAAATGACGTGAACTGATTCATCGAAGAGAAAATGTCGGTTCATTCTTGTCAAATTGCTCAGCGAACTTTAAAAAATTAATTCAAACAAAAAAAATGTCAAGATGCTTGAGGAACTTCTTTTGATATATTGTAGAAAACTTGCCAGAATTAGTCGCTTCTTTTTTTAAAATATCTACTTATTCAAGTCTATTGCACTAGAATAATCAGATTCATGTTAGTTTAAGATGCTATTTTTATGAATTTATAATTTTTGTGTTTGTGCTTGTAAAATATAACTTGATTAATAAATTCTTTAAAACATAATAAATCAAAATTGTTATAATATTATTTCGTAATTTTTATTCCGAGCTTATATATGTATATAAGTTTGTTTAGTGATTACAAAATATCAAGTAAGAAATCTTTTCGGTAAACATTTTTTTTCTTGTATATATTTAAAGCATTTTGATGATTTATACGAACGTTATCGTCTGTGATTTGATCGACCCCTGTGGATAATAATATCTGATTGATTTTCTTGATGGAAAACAAGAAGGACAAACGAACAAACATTGGATGACTATATCGGCGTCAATATGTCAATATGTATGTATAACGTTCGGAATTTGGCAAAACTAGAGATATCTTGCACTCTCGTTTTTTTTTCTTTCTTTTTCTTTCGCTTTTGTATTTTCTGCCTTCGAGCGTTGGTATTTGTACAGGTGCCATTTGATCCGACAAGGAATTGCATATAGCAAAATAAGTTAAGATTTAGCGTGGTTAGTTGGTGACGAAAACAATATAAACAATTGTGAGAAAGACTGATAACAGCAGGCGTTTTTACTCTATTTGTTTCTGTTACAGCTAACGATGACAATATCCTGGTACGATGCAGATAAATGTGTAGCATACAAATAGAAGTAGGTAAGTAGATAGATTGAATAGATTCTATTTTATATGTTGAAGTCATTGAAATATTAAAATAACGTTTCTTATCAATAGGATAGTATTAGATCGATCAGTTTACTCATTCATTGAGATTTATAATGTGGGATTAAAGAAAAGAATGAAAATAAGAATAGATAAGAAGAAATCTTCCGTTTGTTACTGCCATCGGCACTCTTAAAGATGATTGTGATGAGTGGAAGTCAGTTACTACCGATTTTTTGTTTTTCCTCCCATCGTCTGTCTTGTTAACGCATTTTCCTGGGTGTATTTCTTTCTCTTGACAAAAAAAGAGAAAAAAAAGTCAAATATTGAGAAAATGTTGGAAAAAAAGAAAGAAAAACTCTTGTTCATTTCCTTTCTGCTTGAATACATGTAAACAAGTTGTGTACCAAAGAAAAGTAAGAAAGGAGAGAACAAAACGAGAAATAATGATAAATCAACACTGATAATACCAACAACGAGGTAAGAACGATTTTATGAATATTTCTAAAAAACAAAAAATTCAAATTTCATCAATTCAGTGTTCACTCACATATACTTTCAAATATCATCAAAAAGTCAATTAATTAATTTTACAAACTCTGATGAATACGCAAGACTGCGAACGCGATGTTCCTTTTTCTTTTTTTCTTTTAATGAAGACATCAATGCATACTATAGAAAAACAAGAAATGAAACGAAGCAAAGTTTTTCTTTTTTTTTATTAAAGGCGATCGAATTGAATAAGGATTAATATTGATAGACGTACTACTGATAAGATATTCTTGCATAAATATATATGTCACGAAATAAAAACCAGAGACGAAAAACAGAGTAAGCTTTATACAGAAGTACTCATTTGTCTAGTGTAATATTTATTCTTAAAATAGACCTGAAATATATTTATTTAATCCCAGAGATACAAATCATGATCAAGCCAATTAATTATTATAAATTTGTTTATCATTTTTCGTGCTTTATTAATAAATAAACGCAGTATATTTATTTTGATCGATGATCTTTTCTGTTCATTAGATATTTATCAAGTTTCTATTCAATTGTATCAAGAGCAAAACAAAACAAAAAGAAATACAAAAGAAATAAGGTAATTGTTAATGTTACATGTGTGTATAGTATAGATTTTGCACATGAAATTGAATATATGCAAAAAATATTGTAATGATCAATGGTCAAATTTCGATGGTTTCTTTTTCATTGTTCGTTCTCTCGTCGATACTTATTCTTTTTTTTGCTAATGTTATGGTAGCTAATTTCCTCCAGAATTAAGCGTTTTTTTTACTTATATGTTCGTTGTTTCATTTATAACATTCTTCCCTTGCTTGATGTTTCTCTTTCATTTCTTATCAAAAGCAAACAGGCGATAATAGAGACTATATTATATATAGATATAAAGTAGACAACTTGTCAATAACAATTCAATACAAATAATTTAATTAGATTAATTTATCGTAGAAATGATTTTTCAAAGAATATACAACCGATTGGTATCATTATTATCATTATTATTGTGAACGACTAAGATTTTCATATTTATATACATGTTTTTTATCACGATACCATTTCTCATTTACGATTCATAAAGTAGTGCTGGTAAGTGTCATAAAGAAAACACTTAACACATGAATGACAGCTTGCTCAACTTTTATAAATATATTTATATAGAGTAAAGTTTAATAATCATATATATAGACAGATATAAAAAAAATTCATACAGACTGAAAATAGAATCCTTTGTTGTCATGAGTTAATTGCATATGTTTCTGGAAATGAGCATGAGTTTCAACTGTTGATTATTTCGTGATAAAAACTATATTAAATTTTTTTTTACTATTATGGCTGAAATTGAATCTTGGCATCATCCTGGTACTTCAATCGATTACATTAGTTGACATTGGATTTAGCCCGACCTGTATATTCAATAATAGCAAGACCCACTGTCTGACTTACTTCCTCTCTATAGTACTATCGTCAATCTGATCAACAGTTTGTCAAGATGTATGGGAAGAAAAAAGAAGAAGAAAAGGAAGAGGAAGCAACAAGTTTTTTCTATCTCTTCCCAAATGGATGCAAACTAAAAGCCTTTCTCTGAACATACTTTGGATTCAATTGAGAACAAACGATCAATCATGTTGACAGCCACGTTTCATACTTGAACTAATACTATGAAAAAATGTTTTTTTTTCTTTTTCTTTCGAAATCGAGCAGATTCCTATCATATATCTTTTGATTCTAAAGGCAGCCAAGTATCATATTCCAACAAAAGAATAAGTACAATACTCATTTTCATCCATCTGCATAGATAGCTCTAATCATAATCTTTTCTTTTTATTGTTAAAACTATTCAAACAATTTAAAATAATCTAAATGTTAGATAATATGAAAAGATTAAATTAATAATTCAAGTGTTTTTTTTATCATTTGCTATATATGGTTAAAAATAATATGCTTCATGACTACCTTAATTCAAATATAGATAGGTGCATTGCATGTTTTGCTTTGTGTCATGATACAACATGGAAATTAGTGCATTGCACTATATTTGATTGTTCTTTGTATGTGAGACACAGAAAAATTTTTCTTAATGAAGTTTCCTTTTTTTTTTCTTTTATTCAACGACCTCTTTTACTAATATACTTAAATCAGTTGCGTTCGATTTATGAGACATCTGTTTGTTGACCAAGTTTGCATGTCTCTCAGCTGATGATGGTATTAGAAGTGAGACAGATCTGTCAGAGTCATTCGTTGTTTCCATCATTCTATCTATTTATTTATTTATTTTTCTCTTACTATATCTATCAATCTATAAATAAATTTTGTAGTGTGACAAACTGGTCAACAGTTTATAATGAATACCAATCAAACAATTGATAGTAATAGTATAACAGCTGAACAAAATATATTTCTTACTGATAGTTTACTGAAAAGAATTCAAACTAATATACATAATTCACGTACTGGAGAACTTATTGTTGGAATTGTAGTAAGTGAAAAACATAATATTTTTCGTTTTTTTTTAAATTCATCATTGTTTTTTTTTCTTGTTGTCAAGTCTTATTCAATCATTATCTTGTTAAGTATTATTGGAAATGTAATTGTTGTTACGGCCATATGTCGTGTTCAACGACTTCGTCATCCAACGAATTTTATACTTATGTCACTTGCTATTGCCGATTTACTAGTTACAACAACAGTTATGATACCAGGATTTATATATAAAATAAAACAAAAATGGATATTTGGGCAAGTTTTTTGTAATATTTGGGTAGCAAATGATATAACATTTTGTACAGCATCAATTTTACATCTAGGTAGGTGATGTATAAAATAATGATATTTTATTATTTTTTCAATTTATAAGAAATGTTCATATGGAATAATTTTCTTATCGTATATTTCAGTTGCTGTCAGTTTTGATCGATATGTTGCTATTGAAAATCCACTTAAATATAAACAAAAAATGACTAAAGGAATGATTTTTATTATAATCGGTTGTATTTGGTTGATAAGTGTTCTTCTTTCTTATGGACCTGTTTTATTGGGTGTTTATAGTCAATCAAAAACTACTGGTAATTTATCAAATTCTACTGAATGTGGTATGAGACCAAATCGTATTTATTCGATAATATCATCGTCAACATCATTTTATATTCCACTTATAATTATACTTTTTCTTTATGGTCGAATATTTATAACAGCACGAAAACATTCACATGAATTACAAAAACTTGAAAATATAATTAAGCGTTTACATAGTAATGACAAATTTGTATTTGAAAATGCTAAATGGAATAAAAATATCAAAGCTATAAGAACATTAGGTATGAATAAGAAACGACTAAAAGAATAAAATTAAAGCATTTAGTGTTTTGCTTGTCTTTTAAAGGTATCGTTGTTGGTGTATTTGTTGTTTGTTGGTTACCATTTTTTGTCATGTATCTTCTATTGGCTTATTGTGATTATAAATGTGTTAGTCCACATGTAGAACTTTATATTACATGGATTGGTAAGTTGCCATTAGTTTCCTTTAAGAAATATATATCAATGTATTTAGGTTATGCGAATTCGTTTTGTAATCCAGTAATTTATGCTTTTTCAAATAAGTAAGTTTTTTTGTATTTAACATCTTATCAAACAATGATTTAAAACAGAAACGTATCCGTTCACTTTTTTATTTCCGAAAGAATTGTAAAGAAAAAACTATTCTTAGCGGAGAAAAAGACCTATTGTATGTTAATAGTTATTACATTACGACTTGAACAACGTACAATTCAATAAGACTTATAGGAGATTTTTTTTCCTATCCCGTAAACTCTAATCAATCGTCATTAGCAATAAGAAATAGATTTCTTTTATAAGAAAAAAAAATGAATTAAACAGTTGAATGATAATGATGAGTTATTTAACGGACAAATGATTACGACTAATGAAACATGTGAAGTTCTCTCAAACATACAATAGACATCTTTGTTTTTCTTGTCTCGGATCATCGATTAAAGATATTAAATTTTTACTCGAGCAGAAACATAGATTAGAATGTTGTTCACTTTAATGTCAAGTTAGAAAATGCATTGGAAAAGAAAGGAACTTATTTCTGTTGTTAGATTTTGCCATAGTTGTTATGAATTGTTCGATTGTTTGGACTTTTTAACATTTTATATTATCAGAATTGGGAAAAATAATGCTTAATAGTTGAACTAATTGCTTTTCGTAATTTACAATCATTTATAAAGAGGACATTTCAATTTGACCTTATACAGACAAATAAACATAGACAATTTTCCTTGTATGTCATATCATTTCTTATCTAATACTTAACATTTAAACTACACAAACCAATGTTTATTCCTTCATCTAATTGACTTAAATATGAATATCAATATGACATTCGCTTCGGAATGATTATAAAAATTGGTTTATTAGTTTAACTAATATAATTATTAGTCGTGTTTATGAATAAAAGAAATTTGTGTGATATGAGAATGTTACATGAAATTCAATAAAAACTTTTGTCCTTTTATTTCATTGAAACAACGGTCTAATGAATAAAAACAAAATGTCTAAAAAAAACTATTTTGCTCTATATAAAAAGATTTATCATTTCTTTTTTTCTATCAAAATTAATCATATTGAATAACTCTGTCATTTCTCATAAAACCAATTGAATTTTTGTAAAGTATAATTTCTTTATTCCATTCAATGAAAATATTGATAGGACAATGGTTTTTTCTAGTGCAAATACTTGAACCAAATAATAACACATCTTACAATCTTAAATATATATATATATATATTTATTATTTCATAGTTAATATAAGGTTCTATTAATCTGTTCATAAGATTCAATTTCATATATAAATATATATCTTTCCATCATGAAATCTTTGCATTTATTTAGAGAATTTCGAAATGCTTTTTATGAAATTCTTCATTATAATAATTGTAAATGTTTTCTCTTATCATCCAAATATAAAATTCGTACATCACTTAGTAAATCTACTTATTCAATAAATACAAAATTTACACCACAACCACAATCACGACAACCAAGTTTTACACCATATTTAAATCAAATGCAACGTAACGGACATCTACATAATGAAATATATTTACCTAAAATGTTAAATAAAACGAAAAAAAGTGATAGTACTGATACATTTGAAATGAAAACATTTACAAGTCAAAGTCCAACATTGGAAGCGTTTAATGAACTTGAACATCTTGTGTCAAATACTATTCCTGATCGAGTATCCATTGCTGAAATGAGTTCATTACTTTATGATCAAGATGATGTAGCAGTCGAAATACCAGTTAATAGAAAATCAACAACTACATTACAAATAAATCATTCTTGATTTTCTCTTATCTCATATCAATACGTGCTGTTTTAGTGACATTGATGACATCTCCTCATTCCATTAGTCATCTCCAATGTATGTATATATATATATACGCTCGATAACGGTGATTATATTGACAACAGAAGCCCAGTGCGCAGTGTTTTTTTGAACAATACATGTGTGCGTATAAGATTTGTGAATATTTGTTTTTTTTTTATATTAGCTTCCAATAACAGTATTCAATCTAGTATTCTGTTATACAGATTTTAGCTTGAGACTTTTATTCTCAACAATTTGAGAACAATTTAATTTTAGTACAATTATTTCATCTTGTTTCTTCAAATTCAAAAAAAAGCAATAGTAAATGGAATCTTTCTATTGTTAAGTTTATCTTTTATTTAAACAAATTTAACGATGGTAATAGTACAATTGAATGAAGAGCAATATAAAAGATCTATAAAAGGATTATCTAGCAATTTTTTTTAACAACATTCATAATTGAATTTTTCTTATCTTTGATGTGCTAGATGATGTTCAATTCTCACCTTTGGTCTATAATTTTTCTTGGAACTTTTTTTCCTGTTATTAGATTATAAAACAAAATGTTAATATTATTTTTTTCGCCTTATCTTAATTAATATTGATTAATGTGCTCCATCAATATTAATATCTAAAAGAAATACTGATGACTTGAGTATTCGAATAGTCAAATTATATGTCCACAAGATAACGAGCATATCATGTTTCTCTTTGATCAGCACTTAAATAAACTGGAAAGACACATTTGTCAAACTAAATAATATAGAAGGTGTATAAGTATCATTAAAGTCAAAATCAAGGTATGATGTCAACAAGACTACTTTTCTAATGTCATAAATGTACTAATGCATTGATAGAAGTAAATTTCTATAGAGGTGTAAATGGTTTTCTACTGACATTTTTTGTACAACTTGAAAGATCCGAAGAACACAGTGAAAATGCTCATAGGTTATTTTGAAATGAATTCATTTTTGTATCAGAGAAGTAATACGTTTTCTGAAAGTGTTACTCTATCACAATTTCATTGATATTTTATTATTTACTAGAATTGACACAGTCTCCCTTCACCGAGAAGATGTAGCAAAAGTATGAATTAATTATAAGAACAATTGAAAAACTACTGTCATACTCTTAGAATTTTTCAGTTATTAAACTCTATCTGAACGATTATTCTTAGCTCAAATTAGTGGCAATAACATTCCTTTCTTGAAAATCACACGACTTGTAAACTGATCGATTAATTCACCACAAACTGAATCATAATAGACAAAAATCATTTTTATAGCTTTCGCATTGAAATTCAGGATGAACTATTCTTATCGATGACAAAGAAAACAACGAACAGTTCGTCTTTGAATATCAAAATTGGAATTATTTAGTTTTGTTGCTCAAAATAAATTATCGTTGAACTCCATCAATCGTATTGAAACGCATAATAAATACTACAGAAAATCCATCACTTCTAAAAATACTTTTTGTTTGATTCGATGATCCGCCTATATAACATAACATGATGTTATATTTAGTGCAAAAAGTGTATTTGAAATATGGTGAAACCATTTGATGCTTTGATTTTTCTACATCAATATTTCATAAGTAATTTAATTTTTAACAAAATAATAATTTATTCTACAAAAGGTATTGATAATGCGGTTAATCAATCATTGAGAACTTTCACGATATGTTTTAGATATTGTAAAATTTACAACAAATATAAAGTTATTCTTTTTCTTTTAAGAAGATTTATATGAATTATTATTATATTAAACAAATGCTTCTTTTGTAATAAGTTAAAACAGACAATCATATAGAACATCGGACAAAGTACAATTAGCAATGCATCACTACAGGTACAGTTTCACATATTCAAATGACTAAAAGCACGACCGAATACGAATTGAAACATTCGACATAGCTGAATTTAACTTTTGTAAATATAAAATTGAATGTATTAAATATTTCATAATGATGCTTTATTTTAATGTACAGTTGGAAAATTGTATGAATATATAATCATTGCTCTAATACTATGCGATGCAAAAATCTTTTGGAAAAACGTTAACACTCATTTCTCAACAGTCGATTATTGGATCGATTCGAAGTTTTTGTTTTGTTTGAAAAAGTTAAGTCTGAAAAATGAAAACTGCCATCATAGTTTACATATTTATTTTTTGTTTTTTTATAATAAAACTCATATACTGAGCAACGCTCAACATGTCGTTTCAACTTGATGCTTCAATATTTTCAGTGGCTGACTTCGTGACTTCGTTTGTTTCAAACTATGAGTTACATTAGTCACGAGGAGAACTTTTGAATCTCTATCATTTTATCTATGTGGACATTTGTTTTGCCAAATAATTGTTTTCAGATTAATAGAAAAAATACTGCTCTCAAACACCGCAAACGAAATAGATAAATACTCTCTTGCTTTATCTATATACGCTCAAAACTTTGCTCTTTCAAACAAAAAAAAAAGTCGAAGTCCATTCTGATGCTGAGTTATTGAGACGTAAATCTCGATATTTTTCCAAAGACTCTAGCATCGCATATTAGGATACTGAATTTCTTTCCATACAAATCATCCTATGCAAAAAAAATAGTTAATTCATAAACGAAAAAGATCTTTTTTAATAGATTAATTCTTACATCAGCCAGCTTCGCCATATATGAATAGGACATTTTATAAAAGCCTGTTAAATAAGAGAATCTATTGAATGGCTATTTGAATAATTTTAAATCCACATATAGATGTTTTAAAATAGAAGATTCATAAAATTTACTTTGATAAAAGTACAGTAATAAAATAGAGATATCCACGAGCATAATCTGAAAAAAATTCTATTCATTAGAACATACGTTACATCGATTGTAGCCTGAGTTCTTAGATTTTTTTTGTATGTATACAATATATAAAAGAGATTTTTCATATTTTTGTCTTGACATTCAGTATATAGCGAAAGAGTTTATTTTTTACTATCGATTTCTAAATGAATGCTTTTCTACATCAATTTATGATATATTCCAAAACTTTTGAACATTCAAGTAATTGATCACCATACAAAAAATATGAATACATGACATTACTATCGATGTTTTCTTAGCATATTTATTTAACTCTCGAGTGCTATTCTCATTTTGTCATACAAAAGATATTGTGTCTGTTTTGTTGGATCCACATATATTTGAATAAGAAGAACTTGATTTATTCTAAACATAGATAAATTGAAGATGTTTATTATGATCTTTTCAGGTACAGAAGCGTTGTTCCTGATGTATGAAAACATTTGCAGTTTAAAAGATATCTTTGCTAAAAGGTTACTATAATAGTACGGCGTTAAAATATTATGGAAGAAACTAGAACTAGAGACCTGACTGCAGCACAAACGAGTTAATGTTCTGACATGGATTGATATAATAATCCATTCATATTAAAAACGAGAGACATTTCTTTTTTTGTTTATTTATTATTTTCTAAAACGGATAAAATACAATAAAATCAATATCATGATTTAATTGTTTCATGTGAGCTTACCCTTGAATTTTTTTCTCTATAATACTTATTAACGAAAGTAAATATGACCTTTTTACATTGTTAGAAGACTAAATATTAGAAAAGAGATTTGTCAGAAAAAGATAAGTATTAGTGTAGTAGAAAATGAAAAATGACATTGTGAGTCCAGCTGGACTTGGAGAAAAGCGCTCATGAAATATATTCTTTTAGGATACTATTTCATTATGAAATAATGTTTTACTTTTAGATAAGCTTGTCATTAATATTGTAACATTGATACTAAAACTACAGAATAAAGAAGCTTTTTTGATCAAAATTTAAGACATGATTAAATAATCATACTATTCTATTAAATCTCATGTCTCCATAAGTTGATAATCCTGTTTATCTTATTTAATTGAGTATGGGTGCTGTGTGGACATTAGCAGTGTTTTTTATACTTTATCAATTGTGGAATTACCATGGTTATTTACTTTCTAAAATATCGCTTTGCATATGTTTATACCAAATGGATGTGCATAAGCTTGTCACTATTGATTTGAAATAATAATGCTTGAGTACATTGAGAAGTGATTGTTAATGGAGTGTTGTCTGTACCATTAATTATTGTTTTCAATAATGCTCTTCTGACGAGAACGTCAAAATAAAGAAGATGAATGAATTGTTGAATTCAATAATGTAAACAAGATAAAACAAGCATTTAATTGTAACTGAATTCTGCTCTTCTTTTGCATCATCTTTTTTCTATCTGTTCTTATGTAAAGACAAATTGAAAGTTAAAAGCATCAAATATGTTGATTTTAACATTTGACTTTCTTTCCAAATTATTATAAAACTGTTTTATTGCTGTTACCATGGTCTTCGAATCAATCATAAATGGAAACGAACTATCGCTTTGGAAATATTATTTATAGATAAATGAAACAAGAAAGCTTTTAATGGGATAGTTCCAAGGAGAGATGGGCACAGAATAGTAAGGAGAATAGTAAGAATCCTCATTTTTGGCTTTTGATTACCAAAGTATATATTAGATTATCAGTTATCTTACAGGTAATTTATTTCAAATCATTTTCAAACACAATAACTAAAGTTCTTCATAATGACTAATATTATAAATACAAGAAAATGTAAAGGCATCTTGATTTATTATTTTAATGACACGTTCGTTACATGGATTGAATATAGAAAAATTACGAACCTTTGGGGTTTTGTCATCATCATCTTAACATATAGTAGATATTATTAATAAAAAAAAGAAAAAGAAAAAGAAAATATATGTCACAGAAAATTAAACTTAGGCAGAATTAGTTTTTAATTAGAGGCAAAACAATGAAATAATTTTCTTTTATTTAAACATAAATTTCATGTTTCGTTTGAGTTATGCAAACATAGCATGTACCTGTTTTTTTCACAAGTTACAGTATTTGCACTTGTTGATATTGTAATGTAAGCATCAATGATTTCTTCTTCGTCGAAATTAGAAAATGATTCTCGAAAGTATTTTTATGAGCAAGCGACATTGCATTTTGAATATTTGATGATGTTAAATTCCAAGAAAAGGCAGCTAATACTCTACCACAAGGATTCGATACAGTCAGCAACTAAAATTCAAGCGATTTTGTTTTTTCAAATTTTCTTCCATATTAAGAGCTACGGATCTGATTCAAATGACAATATAGATAATATAAGAGATCAGCTGTATGATATAATAAAGGAGGCGCCTCTGTCTATCTATATAAATTTTTCAAACTTCAAATGATTTTTTTTTTCACAAAAGAAGATTTAAGTGTTTCTCAGTATTTCGTATTTCCTAACCAAAACATTTGCACTAATATGAAAAAAATATACCAATCAATAGAGAAATCTATGCTCTGTTAGTTTTTAAAAGTTATTTTTGTTTTCAAAGTTAATCTTTACTTCTAAAACCTGATTTTAGTGAGAATTGATGAAAACATACAGAAACATGATATCCTTAAAATCTCATCATATTTTGTTCATGTCTAAGGATAGTTAGACGCTATAGAACTGGAAAGTATCTCATTTTAAAGAAAATTGAATTTCCGACAAGTCTACCGTCAAAAAATTCGAAAATAGTATGGAGTAGCAGAAAGTGGTCTTTTTGTGTTTATTTCACAATTTTAAAGAATCACAAGAAATAGTCTCATTTAGCTTTCAAACAGGCTGTGGGTACTTTTTTGCACCCCTCAGCCACAACTAAATCCTTTTCCGTCGAATTAAATAAAAAATCATATATTGTAATACGATGGGCTTTGAAAGATTTCACTTCTCCGTATGCCTTCACCTATTCTAACTAAAATCAGATTTTAGCAGTAAAGATCAACTTTGGGAATAAAAATCACTGTTGAAAACTGACAGAGCATGAAATTCTCTATCGATGTATTTATTTTTTTCATTTTAATACAAATGCTTCGACTAGGAAATGCGAAATATAGAGAACCATTTAAATCCGCTTTTGCAAGAAAAGCTATTTGAATTATGAAAAATTTCTAAAGACAGGCAGACCAAGTCGGCTCCTATAATATATCATACAACTGGTCTCTTATATTATCTATATCACCATTTGAATCAGATCCGCAGACCTTAACGTGAAAGAACATTTGAAAAAAAACAAATTCACTTGAATTCTTGTCGTTGATTCTACTCAAGGTCCACGTAAATATGTTTCACGAGAAGTATGTCAAATTCAAATTGTTCATCATTCTCGTTGAAGTCAATTATAAGATATTTGCATATTAGGCTAGTTTTTATTTTTATTTCACTGAGAGAAAAAAATCTGTTTTATGTCTATCGTAGGTGTTCTTCCTTTTTGAATGATCTTTGGCAGTAGACGATTTGAACATTTTCAGGATAATTTTGATAAAATGTCTCATAGAGCTCAATTATCAGAATATCCAGTCCAAGGGGGAAACAGCGGACTTCAAGACTTCAAGACTTCAAAAGACTTCAACAGACTTCAACAGACTTCAGCCGCAGTGACTTCATATTTTCACAAGACTTCAAAAGACTTCAAAAGACTTCAAAAGACTTCTGAAGACTTCATAGGACTTCAAATGACTTCGCAAGACTTCATAAGACTTCGTATG